ATAACTTGTATTGTGAAACAAGGAAATGAGTGCCTCAATCTTAACATTGAAAAATAAAAATCATCTCAAGTTTGTCCACACGGTATAAAATCAAACTATTGTTTTGGGACTCACTTCCAGTTGATGTAAGAATGTTTTCTCAAAAGTAGATTGGTCAGTTAACTAAGTTTAAGGGTCAGTGTGATCAAATTATGGCCAAATCAGAATCAACACATTTATTATTTAAATAATTTAATTTAATTAAAATACACAAATAAGATTTGAGTAAAAATCTATAAATCTACACACAAACAGAACATTGATATATAAATAAACCACACATCTAAATCAACAAAATAGAGTTACTAAATACTACTTCTGGTCCTAATTATAAGAGCCGATTGACTAATTTGAGGAGATTAAGGAAGTAAGTTGAGTTAGTTATTGTCCTAAATAGGTGTTGTCTTTCCTAAAATATCCTTACTAATCAAGTGTATTGATTAAAACTATCATTGTTAAAAGGGCTACTTTGAAAAAAAATGTATAAATATAAGAGACAAAATAGATTGGGGTCTTATATTTAATACCAAAATAAAAGTCAAATATGATTTTATATTAAGGACAGGAGGTAGTATTACTAGTAATCTTGTAGTGTATTGACATGAAAACTCCTTAAAAAAATTGCAAATTTTATCCTATTTGCAATATTAGGCCATTAGTGTTTTCCCTCATTTCATTGGAAGAAAAAGAGTTACCAAAGTTATAAAGTACGAATATGACAGGTTATTATTTTTCTTTTTTTATTAATTCAAAATTATGTTGTCTTATGCTCAATAAATTAAAAAATATATAAAATTCAATTGAACGTTTAACTAAATTGATTAAAAGATTAATTTATCATATTACCGATTTAACCAACAGAACTACTTTCCTCGAACTCAATAAAAAAAAAAGTGCTTTCAATTAAATAAATTAAAGGCTAAAGTATAGTAATATACTTTTAATATTTTAACTTTGTACAATATTTTAATTTAATTTTTTATTTTAAAAAGTATATTTTTAGTCTTTTAATCCTAAAGTTATTAATAAAAATGATGATATTTAGATATTAAGTGTTAATAAAATATTCTCAAATACTAATATAATAAGTTTCAATTTTAAAACAACTTGATATGAAAAATATTATTTAAAACTAATAATATTAACTTAAAAGGATTAAAAATGCTTTTTAAAGTTAGAAGATCAAAATAAAACTTTATATAAAAATAAAAGACTAAATATATACTTTAACTAGATTAAATTTATATTAAATTCTAATACTAATACTATTTTCAGTTCTAATTATAAGATTTTATTTATAATTTACAAATAATATGTTATAAATGGGATCAGATATAGTACCATAGTTTCCCCTAGGTTTTCGAAAGGGAAAAAAGCTTAGATCACGCGACACATGGGGAATAAATAATCGGTTAAGCGCCAATGACAAATTAAATGTAAACTCCACTAGTATTTTTATAATTAATTTTCTCAGTATTTTTTATTCATAAAAATAATATTTTGTTCCGCAAAAATGATTTCATTGCAACTAATAGTATTTTAATGATCTTATGAATGCCTATATTTGAAAATGAAAGAAGCTTGGAGGGGAAATATTAAAAAAAAAAATCTAATTTTTCAGTTTGTACTGTTGTTGTGTTGACTCAACAACTTTTATTGTTCTTTCCGTGGTCTAAAACAAGCAAGAGGCTAATTATATTTGAGAGTATTTGCTACTGCGCCTTTTTATTTTTCAATAATAATAATTAATTAATAGTCATAATAAATTCGCAAAAGACGGGTTAATTCTAATCCTGTTGATCCAGATATCCGGATTTGCCTTATAATATTTGTCTCAGTCAACTGAAAATGGGATTATTCAGGCCAAAATAGGGAAAAGAATTAAAAAAAATAAACTAAAAGTTGGTTCATTTGGATTTGGGGCTAGTTAAAGATTCTATATGCAGCACGTCTGAGATCATTCTGATTCTACTTTCTGCCGTTGATAATGTAGGAGCTGCCTCAATGGTTGAAAAGTTAAAAATTAAAAAAGAATAAATTACAAAAAGTCAGATTCTTCTAATGTAATGTATTTATCATGCCTTAGCTATATTATATCATTACTATATAATAATATTTTTATTTTCATTATACTATACTTAATATAAAACCTATTTAACTAATTTGATTATATTAAGAAAATTAGGTAAGTTAATTATTTATAAAAAATATAACATGTTTTTCCTATAACTCTCTAATCATCTTTTTAATTTTCTTCTTCTCTCCTACTTAACTATGATTGCGAAAGTGATAAATATGGATAATTTAAAAAAATTGATAAATATGAAAAATATGTCTTATATTTAAAATTAATATTAATTTAATAATTAGGTCTTATATTAAAGATCGAAGAGGTGAAGCAGATGAATTTGATCCAGACATAATGAGGCATTGAAAGGTTTGATGTTGTTCTCTACTTAATTCCTAATAAACGTAAAAATTAAATAATTAATTTATAAAAAATAATTTGTTTAAGGTATTTATTTGTAAAAGTGCGTTAATTATTTACATTGGAAGCCAACAAGAAATAATTTTAAAAAATTATAAATTTAGAAAACAGAATGAACTAAAGTTTTAGATTCAGGACTAAAGTGAACTTCTCAATAGTTCCTGAATTTAGTATCCAATAATATTTTAAATATAATTACTTTATAGCTTATAAAAAATAATTTTTTAATTAGTCCTTATGTTAGGATAAGAGAAATGTGTGTGTGTGTTTTTCTTTTCTAAAAAAAGATCTCTTATATGCTACCGAAAAGAAAATATTCTCCCACCAATAAAAGTTGATGCGCACTGTAGCATTATTAGTTATCGACCGCAGCTTCCATGCAAGAGGTCACAGCATCTCTTCGGAATATTCCATAGTTGATTCATTCCAGATTCTCCTTTTATTTTCCCCGAATTGACCTTAATTTCTCAGATTGCTTATCGGTCATCACAGGCGTGCGGATTACGTGTGTGTGTGTATATATAAATAAGATATAATTAATGGTATATTTAAGCTCAGATCAGAAATACAAAAATAATTGTAATATAAATAATTCAGAATTACTCCAGCCTTTGCAAATATAACAAATTAAGTGTGGAGTTCTCACACTGCGTATGAGTATGACTTAAAAAAAAAAAAGAGATATATTATTTATGATTTTAATTTATCAATAATGTAATGAATTTTATATGAAAATCAGTTGATATTGACAAAATAGTCCCCCCCCCAACCCCAAGTTTTCAAACGTGGCTATTCATGTGAGCTTCGACATTTTTACTCTTTTATAGAAATTTTGAATTTGAATGCATGTATGACGAAAGTAACCTATAGGTGTATGCTGAGTAAGAACCATCTGGTCAGCTACTAACGTTATTTTTCTTACAAATATAAATATAGAGCTCAATACTTAAAATTAATGAAGTTATGAAGAACTGACATGAGGTCTAAAAAAATAATAATTATTATTAAAAAGTTTTAATAATAAGTGAGCAGTTGAAACATGTTATTTTTTATTTTAAAATTGTTATTACAAGCTTGCTTAATTATTATAAAAATTTTTAGTAATTATTTTTTAAAATTTATAACAATTTGCCCATGAAATTATAAAGACCCGATAAAAGGAAAAAATTAGAAAAAGATTTAACCAAAAAAATAAAGTGAAATTATAGGAATGATATGTGCGTGTTTGTCCAACCATAGAAAGTTCAATAGTCTGAAAAGAGAGCCACACACACACACATATAATAATTTTTCCATGACCTTCTAGACGACATGAATCCCATACGGTAGCATTTACGTTGGTCAACAAATAAAAGAGAGATATAAAAAGCAAAGAAAGTAGTATAATGATAATTCTTGCAAATCAATAATGATACGTTAATAGCAGAAAGTTAAAAGGCGCCTTAAAGCCCACAGAGTCAGCCACGCAGCGTAACACAAAAAGAAAGCAAAAGACAAAAATGACCTTAATTATAATCTAATTGGAAACTTTTTGGTAAATAAGAAGTGATGAGTTTGATTATATTTATACCTGGCTTTCGAATTTTAAAAAAAATATATATAAAAAAACCAGCAATTTGGGACAATTAGTGAGCCGATTGAAAATGCTGACAAGAGGAACAAAATATAAAATTCAACTCGGTTAACATGATCAAAATTGTTGAGTAGACTAGTTAGAAAATTGATTAACTGATTTATTAATCTGATCAGGGTGAGTTTTAATAACATATCAGATAGCAAGTGGTTAATGCAAGAAAAAAACGCGGACAGGGAAAAAACAGCAAAAAAAGATTGTCGTTTTGTCACCTAATGGTCGGACAAATCACAAAATTACATCGTGAGGCAAATAATTAAGCAATTGCTATATCTTATTCTTCGTATAAGAATTAGTTTAATTTTTAATTTGACTCTAAATATAAAGTCTTTATTCATTTTATCTCTAATATTTATTCATTTTGTTTTTAAATAATCCTTATAGTAGTTGTATATATTAAAGCGTTACTATCAATTTGTAATTCAAACATATATGATTAATAAAGATATTTTAAAAGAGATGATATTTATTTAATATAAATAATTAATTTAAATAATTTTTAAAATTTTTTAAATTAATTAACTAAATCTTGTATTAAAAATCGGAAAAAAAGAGTAATGGGACTTGACCCAATCCGTCCGCCTAGTTTGACGCCTCTGTTTCGTTCAACATCCCAATACGTCGTCGGCTCGCGGTGGCTTTTCTTTCTCAACTAAAAGTTTTTTTTTTTTTTTGGGAGCTGAAAACTAAAAGCATTAATTTATTATTTTATTTGACGAAGAAAATATTTTTACGTGTCGACCAAGAAGGGAGTTGTCCCACGCAATCTCACTCGCGCGTGTGTTTCACTCCAACGAATCTTTCCCTCTCAGACACAGACCCAGCGTCACCCAGAAGGTGCCACTGTTCCTCCTTCACTCTCTCTTCCTCCTTCATAAAAGCTCGCCTTTCCTTCTTCGTCGAAGCTTTCACAAAACTGTTGAAGCAAAACCAGACGAAACCAAACTGTTATTTTCTCTGCCACTTGTTTTACTTCTCAATCAGCTTCCCGTCGCAGAAACTTCCAACATTCTTTTTCCTCCAAACGCAGCGGACGACTCTCTCTTCTCTCTGTTACCTTTCTCGATTCTCTTGGTCAACTCCGTGTACTATATAAATTTGATCATCTTCTTCCCTTCCACGCAGAATCTCTGTGACTGAAAATCTGTTTCTCTAATTCTATTCCTATTTCTGTTTCCATCTCAGCCTTCTTTCATATCTCTTCCCTTAGCACTTCCTTCACTATTATCTACTCTGCTTCCGGGTCGGGTTTTGAAGTTGAGATATATTGGGTGCCGATGGCGTCGTCCTTCAATTCTAAACCCAAGATCGTCAATGGACCGGGCGGTTATGTCCTCGAAGATGTTCCGCATTTGAGTGATTACATATCTGATCTTCCAGTACGTCGTCGTTCTTTTTCTACTTCTTCTCTTTTGTTTCTGTTACGGCCAATTAAAAGCTGCTTCTCTTTCAAGTAGTTGATTTTTCACCTTCAGTTGCCTTTTCATGCTCTTTTGTTGCTATGTAAATAACTGCTTCTTCTTTCTGAAGTCTGAATCTGAAGGCAATTTTTTTCCTACTTTGTAGAATTCAGATCGGTGATCTTATATATGTAACGCCCGATGAGTTAGTAAATAGATAATTACTTTGTTTTGATCTGTAATTGAGAAGTTTTTTTTGGGATGTTTTTGCAGACATATCCTAATCCTTTACAGGATAATCCTGCTTACTCTGTCGTTAAGTAAGTGTTACTTCCGTCTTTCAGCTTGTATTATATATTTACTGTACTTGTTCGCTCAGATGACGAGTTGAATTTACTTGCTATTTGCCAGACAGTACTTCGTGCATGATGATGACACTGTTCCTCTGAAGGTTGGTCACTTTCTGTTGTTATTTCCTTCTATTCTGAAACAATCGTTCACCGCTTATCTTATATACATTACTAGGACGCTTTTCGCTTAATTGGTTACAAATAGATATAAAGTACATTGAAAGGGCCATCTTGAACATAATTTCCTCCATTGTCTTGGATTGGAGGCGGTACCAAAAAGCATAAGCCATTAACTGATCTCTACAATTAGGTGGTGCTGCATCTCCAACGCCAGGTATGTGTAATAAAAAGAATGGTAATAACTAATACCTGTCGTAAGATGATAAAATGCATGTTTTTGACGGGGGCCCAAAATGTTACATGATGAGGTTTCTTGCAGAGCTGAGAATTTTAGCTACGAATTTGACGTGGTTACATTAGTAATATATCATTTAATTCCCATTTCTTATGGTAGGTTGTTGTTCACAAAGATGGTCCCAGGGGAATACATGTTCGTCGTGCTGGACCTCGTCAGAAGGTATACTTCTGTGGTGTGGGAATGTGGTAGCGATAATTGTTATATTATACATCTTTATTAATTTTTTTCTTTAAATTGGATGTTCAGGTTTATTTCCAGTCAGACGATGTGAAGGCTGCCATTGTTACATGTGGGGGTCTTTGCCCTGGGCTAAACACTGTGATCAGGGAATTAGTATGTGGCTTAAATCATATGTATGGCGTGAACAAGGTCCTTGGAATTGATGTAAGCGGATGTTTTAGCATTTGTTTCGAGAAATTTTCATTCTGAGTCCGGAAAAAATTGAAGCAATATGTTCATCTAAAGGGGGAAAAAAAATTGATGCATGGCATGTCCTCTGTTAAAATACTTTAATCTGAAGATTGCACCTCGTGCTTGTTCCATTTCTCTGACAAGGCAAGGTTCATGTTTGCTTGGAAACAGAGAAGAGAAAATAAACTACTTATCTACTTAAAGGAAAAATGAAGAAGGAGAAAAATGAGTGGGAAAAGAATAAATATAAGAATCAAGTCATTACTATAAGAAGCAAATTCACCCTTGCATCTGTATAATAGATAATTTTGTAAATAATATTAAGTAATTTAAAGTAGCATGAGTTCGTAACTTATAAATTCAGTCGCATAGGACTTTTCCCCTAATTTCATTCCCTTAAAGCATGAACCTTATTCCTTTTTTTTGTTTAAATTCATGCAACTTTGTACACCAATGGTGTCTCATCTCAATGAAAAGTTATTCAGTTCTGAGTCTGAGGTATTTTTTCTTTTGTTCTTTTTTTGTCCTCTGTTATCCAAAAGATAGTGACTTGTTATTTTAGTCTATTTATCAACTAATTGTTGTGGTGTGAAGGGAGGGTACAAGGGTTTCTATGCTCGCAACACAATTACTCTAACTCCTAAGAGTGTGAATGATATCCATAAACGTGGAGGAACTATCCTTGGTACATCACGTGGTGGGCATGACACCACTAAGATAGTTGACAGTATTCAAGATCGGGGAATTAATCAGGTCTGTGTTTCTTTGCATTGACCAGAACTTATTATTAGGAGCGGCCAACAACTGAATGTGTCTTTAATCTCAGGTTTACATAATTGGAGGAGATGGAACTCAGAAGGGAGCTTCTATGATTTATGAGGTAATCATATTTTGAACAATGAGGCTGTTAGCTTTTTGTGTGTTAAAAATGTGATTGAGCATGTTCCTATTTAAGACTCGTAAAACTGATTGTAGCTGAATACCAATTTTTTAATACTTCATCCTGATTATCCATACAGGAAGTTAGGAGGCGGGGTCTCAAAGTTGTAGTTGCGGGAGTTCCCAAAACCATAGATAATGACATCCCGGTACTTGATTCTTTCATGTTCTAAGTTCCAACTCAGATTATGTAAATTCACTTATTAATATCCATCAACTTTATTGGCATAAAATTTTTTTCTGCTTTTATCTCATTCTCGATAGGTCATTGATAAATCCTTTGGCTTTGACACTGCTGTTGAGGAGGCTCAACGTGCTATAAATGCTGCACATGTTGAATCTGAAAGTATTGAGAATGGTATAGGCGTTGTCAAGCTAATGGGTCGCAATAGTGGTAAGTTTTTGTGTGCTCATCATGCCTGTAGTTGTGTACCCATCATTACCTTTAATTCATTTCTTGATGATATTGGTGGACCTAATGTTGCTTCATATATGCTTTTACCTGGACGAGTGGTGCAGGGTTTATTGCCATGTATGCTACACTTGCAAGCAGAGATGTGGACTGTTGCTTAATTCCGGAGTCTCCCTTTTACCTTGAAGGTCCAGGTGGACTTTTCGAGTATATAGAGAAAAAACTTAAAGAACAAGGGCATATGGTAATTGTAGTAGCTGAAGGGGCAGGACAGGATCTTGTATCTCAGAGCATCCAATCTACGCAGAAGGAGGATGCTTCAGGAAACAAGCTTCTTCAAGATGTTGGGCTGTGGATATCCCAAAGGATTAAGGTGTGGATTGTGGATTTTCCATTTTTGCCGTATTTCTTGTGCTCTTCAGTTTGATCCTTACCAATCTGTTGCAACAGAAGAATATTTACAGAGCTACTTTCTATCTATCTGCTTTTATCTTACAGGATCATTTTGCCAAGCACAGTACAATGAGCATAAACCTCAAATATATAGGTTTGTACAGATTTTTTTTTTTTTGGGGAAAGGAGTACTAGGCAGAATATTATTAAGAACTTCCGTTTTTTCCCCTCTATTCGACAGATCCAACCTACATGATCCGAGCAATTCCAAGTAATGCTTCTGATAATGTGTACTGCACACTTACTGCTCAAAGTGTAGTTCATGGAGCAATGGCTGGTTACACTGGCTATACGAGTGGACTCGTCAATGGAAGACAAACTTATATACCTTTCTATGTAAGTTCATCGTGCATGCTTGGTGTTTCTTCAAAACTGGCGCTCAAATTTTACGGATAAATATATAACTTTTAGAGATATAAAGAACTACTGTAAAAGTTAGGCTTATATATATATATACACACACATATATCAGCTTTGATAGTCTTGTTAAGATTGTTCATCTTATAACTTTCAATTTGTTTTTAAAATTCTGCAGAGAATCACAGAAAGACAGCACAAAGTAGTGATAACTGATAGAATGTGGGCAAGGCTTTTATCCTCCACAAATCAGCCCACGTTTTGGAGTGCCAAGGATGTGATTGAAGACAAGAGAGATGAAGAACCGTTGGAGCAGTCAGGAGATGATGAGCAAAGTCCAGATGTCAACTCGATTGCCAACCAAATCATCCCCATCCCTAATAATTCTCTCAAGGTCTAATCAATCCTATATTGTGCTATACAAGTATTATATATGAGTCACCCCTTTTTGCATAACATGGCTGTGGAAATCTCAGCCTCAAATCTTCGAGATATTCCTTCATATGTTGTTTTGTTATTTAATAATTTGAATGAAATCCTCTGTGCTTCTCAATGAATCCTTAGCTTTCATTTGTTATATGCATCTCTATGCATTGCATCGCCTAGTGATTTAAACCAAAAGTTCAACCATAGAACAGAGCCTGTCGCTTAGAGGCTTGCATGTATAGTATTTGGTTTATGGAAGTTAAGCAAGCCTCATCACAGGTAACATTTTTCCCTCTTTCCAGTCATCCTTTGTTCAGTTTCGAACTTTAGATTGTCACTTGTCAGGTTCTTATTGACCCTTTTTCTTGTATTTATAAATCTTATTTGAGGATTGTTTCTGTCTGACGTTATTGTGAGCAGTTTTTTTTTAACTTCGAGGTCTTTGGTCGGTAGAGGAAGATTATTTATAAAATTGTAATGACTAGATTAGAACACTATTTCTTCATATTCCAATTTTGACGGTGCTAAACATTAGTTGGGGTGTTTTTGGGGGGGGGGGGGGGTTCCAGTTAGGGCGTCTGACTTTACTTTTCAACTTTCAAGCCCGGGGCCAGTAGAATTTGGAAATTGCTGTGTGCTAGCTTTGTTAAAAAGGGAGAAAAAACCCTATTTTGACATGGAATAAGTTCCCCATTCCACCCCCAGACAAATATGATCTTCAAACGATGTGGAGATGGAGTGACCTGAAAATATGATGTTTTACAAAACCTAAAGGGTTGGATGAAGGAAGATACAATGGAAACTTGCTGTTTGATTCATTGGCGCATTTGTCTGTATTATTATTACAATTATATATATATTTGGATAAAATGACACTTTCTGCGTTAAGAGATTTTCAAGCTCCAACTTGACATCCGTCCCTAGTTTTGGGCTGTTTAGAAAGGGTTTGTTCTAGCCTAGATATTCCACTGGTCGCACGTAGTTGTCAACCATGTAAAATTTTCTAAAACTGATCTTGCAATAAATGTGAAAGCTTTGACTAGTCAACCTTGTCAGTACATGCAGTGGATTTGGCCCTTTCAAGAGAGAGCCCAGCCAAGATCAGATTTCCACTCACTGGAAGTTTCTTAGAACATGAAAGAAGATGTTTTAAAGTGGAGTCACTGAAAATACTTGATGGGTTGAAATCGTCGATAGCGACATCCCAAACTGCACTCCAACGCCCTCCTCTTATTTCCTAGTTAAACGTTGCAGGAAATAAAGTCTCAATTTAATTCATTTTAATATGCATCATAAAATAATTTTATAACATGAGGGCAGTAATAAATTATACCTAGTTATATACTTCCTAGTCCGAAATTTGAATTATTTTAGTCTTTTTTTTATAAGATCTTAATTGGAGTTGTCTAAGTATTTAATGTGTTTTTATCATTTTTGCTTTCTAATTAATTTTATACATTGCATTAATTAAAAGGTTGATAACTTGATATCCTACATTCTCTTTCATATTTTCTTTCGTTACTACTCTTTTTCTCTCTCTTGCTTCCTTGTAAATAAGGAGATACTTGGAAATTTTTTTTTTCACTTTTCACATATTTATTAATTTTAACTAATATTAACCGTTTCAAAACATTTTAAAAATACAACAAGTGAAACCATATATTTATATATGCTGTTATATATTGATAGTTTGAATAAAAGACTGGATTGAAATTCAAATTTTATTAAGAAAAACAATGAATCGATATATATAAGCGCAGAAATAACAATAGGTGATGAGATATTAATAACTAAATAACTTTCCAGTAATTAAGTCACTTAGGTAAAACTAAACGCTAATTCTTCCATACAAAAACTAGAGAAACTGTGTTATTTAATATCAACACCTGTCCTAAATATTAGATTCACTTTGGAGAATATAAATAAGGTCTTATATTTAGGACTAGAGGTAGAAATATTTATACAAGAGGTAGTATCATTTGTCTTTTGTTGAAGAAGAAAATATCAACATTAATTAACAAAAATACTTAAATTATGGTCTGAAAACATTAAAATAATGAAAACAGTAAAAATATTTTAATTGTTAGTAAATGAAAAAAAAATAGTGTTTTCCTTTGTAGAAAATACTATTAACAATTAACAAGAAGATGGCAAGAAAATAAAATATGAATGTAATACAAAGATTGAATTAAAAAAATAACAGATACGAGAAATATATCCACAAAGAAAGTGAAATGTTTGGACACAAAACATAGTAAACCTGGTGATATGAAGGACGAAAACAATAAATTAAAAAAAAAAGACTATATATATTAGCCTTATACACTCAATACTTTTATCCAAACAAATCAGAACAAGGAAATTTTAAAATACTAACGATACTAATAATAAGAGATTGTTTTACAATAAATAATATGATATATACAAAATTCTCATGTCGTATATTTAATTGAAAATAGCACAATTACGCATATAAAGCTTAGCATATAAATTTTCTTCAAAATATAAAAATAGAAATCAAAATGGGAAGAGTAACGAAATAGACAGCATAGATGGAGATATTAAGGAATGGACGATTTGTCTCTAACCGCATTATTTACTAATTAATTTCTTCTAATCAAGTACATCCAAATAATATCCCATCAAAAGATTTCCTGCGTTTCAGAGGCCAGTCCAAGTGGAGACCACGAAGCCTCAATAAATAGGCTGACCACTTGTTCAGAATAAAGTTGATGTCTTCTTGAGAATAACATTGTGGACTATTGAAGTGCTACAAGTTTGAAACACATCATAACATTGATAGCTCATAAACATCAATTACCATTAGAGGACTAGGTTTTGGGAATATATAATTACCTTGTCTAATGAGTCAGCTTCATTAAGATCAATGATGTCGTACATATATCTCATAATATAATATCCACTTTCTTTTTCCCCAAGTTGACGACGATACTAAATATCAAAGAAATAAGAGTAACTGAAATTAAGAAAACAGAAATGACATAACCATTTTTAAAGGAGGTTCAAACTAGCCACTTACATTTGGACGTAGCCATTTGATGTTCTTTCTTCCATTGATTTGATACATCTCATGGGCTCTATTATTAAACATTACATTAACTAGATTATTGATTAATAATGTTGCTAACCAAAGTTTTAAGGAAAAAAATATACTTACTCAGCGAATACTTTCACAATATCATTGCTTTGTTTTCCTCCAAGTGAATCAAACCAATAAATGATATTTGACTGTGGACAAAAAGCACATAATGTCCAATGGTTCCTACAATATATCAATTAATGATTATAATAGCATATTGTTTATGTAAAAGTTTGTCATAATTGATTATTTACATGTTAATAATGAACTTATTACCCTTCACGAATTGGTGCAAGCCAACATTGCTTATAAACTTCCTTGATAGTACTTCCTATGTAATATATTATATCTTCTCGTGTATACTCTATGCCTTGAACAACAATTGGACACAAGAATCCAAATCTGTCATCAATTCCTCTAAACAAGGAAAGGTCGTAGCAAAACCTATGAAATTGCATGTCAACATGTGAGTTGTATGAGAGAGCTAAAAGCATATAGATATATATATATGTTAGGCCTAGAAATGAAAACGAAGTTACGTACATGACAAAGAGTTGGATAATGGTTATGCTCAGCTCTTGCATGCTTAGGAGTTCCTTGACATTTTGGTTCGTAATATAGAAATCACATTCCTTTTGAGAACCCACATTTCCCTTGCTCATAAGAATTGGAATTGGGCGAGTAGTGAAAAGTATTCTACACGCTCCAGGGAGTAGTCTTAACGAGTCAATGTCCCTAATAACATGTGAGTGTGTATGTTGTTGCTCATTTTGGGAAGGGAAGAAAGGGTTTTTCGTAGCAGTGTGGCCTTCAATAGCACATCCTGCAATATGATATTAAAGTTGCCATCAATTAAAACAAAGAACGTTGGCAAGTAGTAGAGCCACTTGCAAGCATTATATTGTTAATTTTATTTCATATACCTCATACCTAAGCATTATATTGTTAATTTTATTTCATACACCTCATACCTAAGTTATAACACTACTTATGGTTCTTAATATAAAAACTAGTTTAACATTCAATTTGGTCCTAAATATATGACCCTAACCCATTTTGCCTTTCATATTTATCTATTTCTCTCTAAGATAATTTTTTTAGTATTTGTACATGTTAAAGGTTTTATCAAATAGTTCTTTTAGCTAATACACATTACCAGTAAGGATATTTTAGGGAAGACAACACTTGTTTATTATAAATAATTAACCTAACTAATTTATTTAATCTATTTAAATTAATTAACTAGTTCTTATATTAAAAATCAGTATTAATCATTCCTAAAATCTTTTACGCTATTAATGCTGCCTACAAATGCATGCATGAGTGATAGAGTCATGATGATGATTAGCATTGGAAGAATGCGTTATTCGCATTGTTTTCATGCTGCTTCATCCAACAGTCTTCGTTTTTTTTTTTGGGGCATCTTAATTGTATCGCAATCAAAATCTAAACATAAAAACACAATTCACTAGCTAGAAGAGAAATGCTATATATGACTTGATGTTGAACAAATCCCAACATCATGAACTCCCTATGTCATATATAAGTGAAAAGAAAAAAAGATACTTAACAGCAACAACAACAACAATAATGAAGAGAAAAGGAATTAACACACCCCTATTCGTTCATTCATATCTATTCATACATGTGTAATGATTCTATAGAATTGTTTAGAATTCGCATGCATATAATTGAATTGCATTAATTAAAAAGGAATGGCGATTACACTATACCTTGGCAATCCCGCAAAATATCTGAATTTTGGGAAGGATCAGTGAATCGAATATTTTCCATATTAGTCCATTCATCTCTGATTACATAGATTCCTCTCTCTTTTACAGCATCTCCGTACTCTGATTGTGAACAAATCTTTACATGGTTCCATTGATGTTCGTCAAATTCTTCATTTATTCCGAAATTCCACATATAGTGCATAATTATATGCTCCACATCATATCCTCTAGTCATTTGCCACAAGTTACACTTATATGCCACTTCGTCATTTTTGAACACTTCTGTTTGGACCCAACAATTATTTCCCATTGGTTGAACAATAGCACAAATACAAAGAGATGGGAAGTGGTCACGAAACCAAAAAGAAATGGACGGTCCTTTGCTATAGTGATCGAACCATTCTGGGATGCTTCCTCCTGGCACACAAAGATGTGCTCGAAAGACCTTAGAAAGAAGTTGATAGTTGATGGGTATTACAGACGCAAGTAATTCCTGAGTCAAAAAGAAATGAAATCACACACACACACACACACACGTAACTTTTTGGATGTGAATATTAGGAAACAGGAGACAGAAATTGACCTTACTCAACAATAACTTTTTGGACTCTAAACTCAATGACACACAAGCTGCTGCCGTCAACTGTTTTATGCTAGGCGGAACCTTTTCCACTTCTATTAGATGCTGGCATTCATCTAGCTTAAGTTGAATCAAATTTTGACAATCTTCTATGCATGCGGGCAAAATTGTGAAATTACTACCTGTCAAGTCCAAAATCTGAACATTGGAGAATGAAGAAAGATAAATCTGAAGGTTCTCATTGGATATATTACATCTTGTTAGCCCGAGACAACTTATGTTTGGACATATTATTGACTCCACTTCCATAAGCAACTCTTCATATCCTTGAACATCTATAAGTCCCAGTTTTGGCAACAAAAAAGTGCTACTTGGTAGCTTTAATGACCTGATTCCCTTGCCCACAGCGTCATTTCTGATCTGTATCGTACTAAGTTGAGTAGGATTTTCAACTGATGGAGGCAACTGATCTATGCCAGTTCCAAACAAAGACAACTGTGGTATTTCCATTTCCCTGGTCATTATTTCTGGGAAGTATTTCAGATTCGAGCAATTCACGAGATCCAACCAGTGGAGAGATGGTGTATTCATTTCACTTGGAAAAGTCATAAGTTGGACACAGTCACATACATCTAAGGTTTCAAGTTTGGCTAATTGTCCAACCGAATTATCAATTTCTATCAAGTTTTTGCAATCACGAAGCTGTAACTCCTTTAAACTTGAGAGGCCAGATAAATCAGGCATGTGCCTAATATACTGGCACCCTTCGAAGTTCAAAACAGTCACATTGGTATTCCGCATTATCTGCAATAATCAAAACCATTCAAAAAGTCTAATTAAACAAATGATCAAATACAACCTAGCAAACTAAATAAGTACACATATATAGCTTGCCTTACTAATTGTTTCCATTGAATTGAAACAACTATCTCTCACATCGAATTCAATAATATCCATGGGACGAAAACCGCGTGGCAATCTTGATGAAGGATATCCTCTCCATCTCAATACTGCTAAACTATTAGGGAGATATTTGGGGCCTTGCGAAAATTTTGTATTCTCAAGAATAAGAATTTTGAGACTGTTCATACTCTCGAAGGCTTTTCCATTCCAATCTATTTTTATGCATTCAGACCCTTCAACTTGAATTATGATAACAACTTCATTTGTGCCCTTTTAAACCAAACATGAAAGAAAATAAAATTAGAAGTTTGATATATGTATTAATAGTAAATGGGGGAAAAAATCACATATTCGAAGCTACTGAAATGTTAAAGGTGCTCATGCTATAGTTATATGAATTAAAAAAAAATATTGATAAACATATCATAAAACAAAACAATGAAAAAATGTTTTCCTAATCGAAATCAACACCACCCGATTAACAGCAGATTGCAAACGACGCAATGCAAATTGATCTAGCCATGGAATATAATATTGATTAAGTCTTTTTTATATTATATTAAAATATTCTTCTTGTCTATATACCAGTCATTGAGTTTAAGTATATGCATTCAGTGCTTTAAAATTAATGTAAGGGGCAAACACCCTATTTCCTCCTAACAGGATTCTATGAACAAATACAAGGGTAAGATAAAGGATATCCGAATAATCATTTCACACTTTAAAATTGCTAAAAGATATTTGGAAGATTTCTCCCAATAAAAAAAAAATTAAGGAATGTTGAGAATTTTCATAATCTTAAAGGCTTCCTCCATCACAATATATTTTAGGAAAAAACTTAGATATTTAAAGTTGTTTAGTTTATCTCATAAATTAACAAGTAGTTTTACAAATTTTGAATTGACAGTTTTGATTACAAAATTAATAAAATAATTCTTTTCAACTTGATTGGACAAAAATATCATAAATATTTTACTTTATGGATTCTGACAAATTGTCTTCCCATTATGATGCTAACTTCGATTCATTTTCTTCCCCATAAGCCATAAATAAAAACGAAAATTTTCAATCATTATAGAAAAGTAGTCATAATGAAGAATGAAGCAGCAACACAGAACCAGCAAACGAATTATTTAAAAAAACGAATTCATGCATAATTATTAGCTATACGTCATTTCAATTTTTATTTATTTATTTATTTTGGTTACTCTGATTTAGACCAATTGTCGTATTTTAAAACAATATTTCAGGAATAAGTTTTCAGTATAATTTCAATTAGGGTGGGTTTCATCGCATAGATGATAGCATGCGAACAGATACAAACTCCCTATAACTCTTTATCAGTTAGAGTGACGATTGTTTTGCGCTTATGTTTTAGCCAATAAATATTAAATCATAAAGTAAATATTGACAATAAAATACCATAAAAATAGAGAAAAATCCTAATTCGAAGTCAAAACTAAGCAATAACAAACACAACAAATCAAACTTCAGAAATCAATCTAGTCAAGCCTTGGGTTAGTCTCATTGAAGTTCCTTTCATCCGGCCCCATCGTGTTTTGAATTCTAGCTAATTAAGCATTATCTTTCCATAACATAATCAAATAAATATAAATCTCAACAATTGTAATGCCACCAAGAAATCATGGGGGGAAAATTAAAATTATGAGGCAAACTAAGAGAAAGTAGATAATTCCAATTAAAGTTAGACTTACTTCACTTCTCCCCAAGACACGAAGGATATCCTTACTTGACCATAACCTACTGCGTTTTCCTGGATCTTTTGGTGATTCTTGACGAACAATCTCTCTTCCCATATTTTGTACTAGATCATGTATTTTAATACAATCTTGCATAAAAAAATTTGTCTCGATCTTTAATAGGCATTTGTTTACCAACACTGCAATATGATAATCTGGATCAAAATCATGAACACTTGCCACCATCTTTTTGACAAATTCCAATTCACTCCCTTGGTAGAAGCAAGCAATATCAAGAAAAACTTCTTTTTCAAGTTGTTGTAAGCCGTCGTAGCTTACTCTTAATATTTGCTGAATCTTATCATGAGGGATTCTTTTACATCCATCTAACATAGATTCCCACTCCCTTAACTTCTTACCATACAAGTCAGCGCCTATTAATTCAAGGGCTAAGGGAAGACCGTTGACATAACTTATCACTTGATTCACAACTTCCCGATATCTTGGATCATCAACTTGCATACTTTTATAGGCCTTCCAACTTAACAATTCAAGAGATTCTTCATAATTTAATCCCTCCATCTCATATATTCTTCCAACCCCATGACTCTTGAGTAATTGTAAATCCCTTGTTGTTATAATGATCCTACTTCCCAAACCAAACCAATCACATGTCCCAGCTAACTTTTTTAATTGCTTTTGTTTATCCACATTATCAAGAATCAAAAGAACTTTCTTATCTTTGAGTGTTCGTTTTATTAGCTCAACTCCTTGATTAATCTCTTCAATTTCTATTTTCTCCCCTAAAATTTTTGAAAGCATTCTGGCTTGCTCTTGTTCTAGGCCATGTTTTCTAGATCCTCCTCCGATATCATCGAGAAAGCACAAGTAATCAAAATTATCAGCAATGGCATTACACACATCACGTGCTATTGTTGTTTTACCCATTCCACCGGTTCCATAAATTCCTATCATGATGACCTCATCATTTGACCCAAGTTTCAATAGAGAATTTATTTTTTCCACACGAAAATTCAAACCAACTGGATATTCGGAAACATCAAGGGGGACCCTGCTGATTATCCTAAAGATCTGGTTCACAATATCTTCAACTAGTACATGTTCATAATCTTTCCTGGAAAAGCAAACAGATAAATTTCACTTAATTCTGATTAAATCCGTCCAATTCTTTTGTCATATACATGCATAATAATTGTAATAATATCATGCTAATCTAACCATAGGATTTACCAAGGTAAAATTTTTAATTAGAAGGAAAAAAATTAGAAGTTGGGAATAACCTTGGATCATATGATAAGCCTTTAAGGTTAGCTACTTCAAGTAGTGCGTGCTTCCAACTTTTCATCTTTTCTTCATCAGCTTTTGAGTTTTGTTCATGTGTAACTAGTGCTTCTCCATATTTCCTTCTTTGATGTCGTACTTCAGAAGGCTCCACATCATAAAAAATTGGCCAAACTAGTCGACCATTTTCCTTGATACATTGATGGATTTGGACTAGTTCATTTAGGCAAAATGTTGAGGAAGCATACTGCTTAGAAAATACAACAAGGGCCATTCTAGATTCCTGAATTGCTTTGAGAAGCGTTGGTGTAATTTCATCTCCTATTCCTATTTCCTTGTCATCAAAGAAGGTGCGAACGCCCTTTCAATTGAGTTCTTTATATAAAGTTCCTGTGAAACCATAACGAGTATCTTCGCCTCTAAAATTGAGGAAGACATCGTAAGTCCATTGGTAATCTATCAAAGATACTTTTGCTGGCCTTGTCATTATTATAGCGTGCACTGGAAGATGGAAATGAAGATGTGAGAGTAAATTTAGATTGAAAAATTATCAAGTGTGATGATAATACAGACAAACACCCTTTAAAAGAGGAAAATGAAGAGGATCTGACTGACTTCATCTTGAAAACAATAAATGTTGCCAATAACTAAGCAAGTAGTATTGTATCCTAAAAGAAGATGGCGCAGGCAAAAAAGGAAGACGAAAGTTGCTTGCTTTTTGTCCGTCTCAAATAGAAAATGAAAAGATCGACGACCAGAACAAAAGAACTGGGTTGACTTATATTATGGCTTTCGTTAATATGGTTTGTATCATTTGAACTTTATTTTATTCATCATATGATACTGCATGTAGTATTTAAATAGAAAAAGTCTGTCTAATTAAAAATAAAAAAGCTATTTGGTTTCATCAGCTTTCGAAATCGACAAAAATTAAAAAAAAATCAAAATACAACAAAAAAAAAGAAGGGATAATTTTAGACATTGACTTTTGTTTAAGCGCCCAGCTAGCTTCGTCAGATCCCTTCAGATGCTGAAGTCAAACATGCAGTTTATTTTCTAATAAAACTATAATATAAAAATAAATAATTATAGTGGATATATCGATAGACGGTAATGGAAGAGCCAAACAAAAAGGAGTAAACATTAACAAACTGTCAATTTAGTAACATGGGATTTCCCATGCGCGTTAGAAATAACAAATGATGGTTCTGATCCACAAACCCCACATAGACCAAATTTTGCATAATACCTAAAGACTGGAGACTCTTGGCAAGGTGACCCACTCATAGTTTTTCTTTGTTCCCAAAGATCCACAGAATCCTGACCCCCTAAGCAATATAATCGTCGAAGCCTATCTAAGACTCACATAGTATGTTTAGGTTAAGTAGATGACGCTGTATTCTTGGCTTAATGGTGGGAAACAGGAGTAACACTTAATTCCTTTTCCTGAAGAGATTCAACCCATATGAGATCCATCCCCAACAATTTTGGAGCCGCGCCGTACTAGAATTAACCCAAATAGCACAAGAATGGATCAAGATCTCGGTTTATACATGAGTATTTGGATCCAATTCCCGTGTAAACTCAATCGATTGAAAGATGGAAACAAAACAGTAGTTGCGAAACCCAACACCGATATAGCAAACTCGTATTAGAGTGAAAAGGACAAGAATATGAAAGAAGAGACCGGATTAATCACCAGATCGGAGGCAGAGGGCGATGAAGCAGAAAAATGCTGGAAAATGTCAAAATACATGGTCTGCGTTAATTACGTTGGAAGAGAGTTGTAGAAATCTTTACTCTTCCAGACGTTTTTGCAGCTCTGATTTGTTCGGCGTCTCGTCCTTCGCTCCAGCTAGCGTACCTCAGCCAAAATAGCCAGAAGTCTTCCTTGTTGACTCAAAGTCAAGTATGTTGAGTAGTAAAGTAAAAAGCTAAATGTTCAGAGAATTTCTAGGAAGATCCCAGAAGTACAACCGTAACATCACCTTCCTAATCTTTAAAGGCTTAAATTAAACATCCTGATGTTTTGTATTTTGAATTTCAACTACCATACTGTAAAAATTAAAATTACCGTTAAAGTTAATGGTTTTAAATACAACATTTCCCAAATAAATTTAATTTAATCCTAAATATAAAACCCAATTATCATATAATAGTTTCCAATGTAAATGATTACAAGTATATGTCAGTAAACTAATACAAATTTCTTGCAATATAATAGCTCTGACTTTATTAATTTTCTTGATTTCTAAATATTCAGGCACCAATTCAGATTACGGACAAAATCACATGATAAAAGAGGAGGAAAAAAATGAAGCTACCAAAAAATTTCAGTTCCTCACTTCCCAAACCCCACAGTAGCGCGGTGAGAAAGGAGGATTGATGAGAGCCTTTGTTGTTCGCCTTGGAGTTCCCAATCAAAAATAAATCTAAACAATGCAATATAGTGCAAAACTCAGGTCGTTTCACTTTGATGAGCCTTTATTTGAAATCTTAAGCAAACTAAGTATCAAAAATAAAGAATTGACTTGAAAAGGAATTGATTTTCTTTTTAACTAACTAATTGGCAAAATTTAAAAGGATGCAAAATGAGTAAATAATTTTTGGATTTTTAGTTTATAAAATGGATATGAATGAAATAAACAAAGAGAATTAACAAGTGACAACAAATGGAAGAGCAATTCTCTAGTACAATGATTTAGGCTATCATTACTTCAATTAATTTGGGAGTTAGCTAAATTCAAAAAACTGTAAGGGCCACCCCTTAGACTCGGTTTAATTAGAATAATCAACACCAAGCCACCTTGCATATTAATTACTCACAATTAAACTGTTTTAGCACAATTAGCCAAAAAGAATCAAAGAAAAGCAATTAACATTTTTAGTCCAATAACCAAGCCACCTTGAATTACCACTGAATATTCACAATAATTTCAAAACATAGTCTGACCTAGTACAATGTAAAGAAATTAAAGCTAATCACAGCATAATATTAAATGCTAATCAAAGATTCCAGCAGTTACAACCAATCTCAATACAAATATAAATCATCACAGCACATTCAAACATTATAAAATTCATTCTAAGACATAGAAATCACAATTACAATGAAGAAGTAAAGATTAGAAGAGTTGAAACTCCCCTTTGAAGCTCTAAGTTCAAGCCATAACCATTGCTCTAGAGAATAGAAGGATTTAGCCAAGCCCCTGCATCATTGAAGCTCCACCGTATGCTTCAGCGATTAAAGCCATAACAGACAGCACAAACGAAGATAAAAGAGACGATGATGATGATGAATGGGCTTCCTGTCTCGCGGCGTGGCACTGAGGATGGAAGTAATTGAGGAGGACGGTGGCGATGGTGTGGAATTGGATTGATGGAAGATGGTGGAATTGGCCCAAACTCAAGAATATGGAGCGAAGAATGGTTCAAAAGTCCCTCTCGCGCACACTGGACCTCCTCTTCTTTCTTCCCGCCGTCACTCCCTGTTCACGCTGCTGTGCCTCTCGCGTCCTCTCTCAATTTTTCTTTTGCCGCCCAGCTCCTAAGATGAAGAAGATTAGTATATTAGGTTGCAACGTTTTGCTCCCTTTTTTTAAATTATTTTTTTATTTTTTTTTATTTTTTTTATTTTTTTTTAATTTTTCAAAATCTTCCAAAAACCTGCAAGCAAAAATTCAAAGATAAGGTAGCATTAATTGTCCTCAGAAAAATCAATTAGTTACAATTAAACCAAAATATGATAATTTTGCCCCTATAAAATAATAATTCAAAATAAAATATATTACATCAATTAACAATCAATTAAGGCAAAAAAGGACCAATTAAGTTGACAAAACCCATATAAAAGATATCAAAATATATAAAAATAATTGAGTTTGTCAAGGACCCTGAAATTTCCTCCCCGTTTCGTCTCGTTGAAAATAGATGGAAATGATTTCTTTTCAATTATCCTTCTCCTTTCTTTGCATCTTCTTTTTCTTACAAGACGGGAAAGATGGATGAAGAGAACGAAGCAATTAGTTGACTTATATTATGACTTTTGCTAGTATTATTTGTACGTACTTCTTCACTCCTTCAGTTCTAAATATAAAATCTATTTTGTTGTGTGATTTACAAGTTCATATTATATTTGGCTTGGTCACAATTAACCACTCATTTACGTTATAATTTCTTTCATGCCAACAACAACTTGTGCGCAGAATCAATTTCTTTCTCGTCCATCAATTTTCAAATGTTAATATATTTGCTAAGCTTTCTAACATCAATTTAAACCAAAGGAAATCAACAACAAATTTTAAAATCCGCGTTATTTCTCTTGTAATATTTTAAAAAAACATGACAAAAATGCCTGCTCAGATAATCTTCCTCCTTCGATCACTTGGGCAATTAATTTCACCAAAGTTTCCTCCTATTTCAAGCGTTCATCTTCTCACTTCCCAAACTCCACGACAGCTCAGAATGAAAGAAGGACCCGCAAACTTTCTTCTCACTTTCGTTTCCTTGAAGTAGACGGAAATGATGGAAGGTATCCGATGCTTTATCTTTTCAACTTCCCTTTTCCTTTGTTGCATCTTTTCATTACGAGATGGGCCTTCACAAAGAATGATGAAGAGTGCTTGCTTTTTGTTTTTTGAGTATAAATTCTGTATTTCATTAATAATCGGCAAACATTACAACCAACTAAGCCCTTGGTCAAAATCCAACCCGTAATAAAATTGGAGGTTGATCAAGAATACAAAAAGAGCCTTTAATATGATAGAAAATAAGACAGCCTAAACTTAAGTTTTTTGAAGAAAATCCAGTTTGATATTGGGAGTATAAAGTAGCATGTCATATTCTAAAAAGACATTTTGCAGTTCATCTAACACCCTGAAATATTTTTCAAGATGCTTCTGATATCCTGAAAATACTGAAAATATACTTTACGGTACTTGATGCACATTGATATGAACTTTTTTATGAAGTTAACAGCAAGTTTAAAATTCCTCCTCAAAAAAATACTTCCTAAAAAAATTAATACTTTAATGGTAAACTTGCACAACAAAATACTTTATGATGCTAAATGTATTTAGAAAAATATTTCAAAGTGTTAGATAAATAACAAAATACTTTAGAGTATTGGATACACTTAGACAAATAATTCAAGACGCTGGATGCACTTTAATCCAATAATTTTTTCAAGTTTTGTAGTTTTCACAAAGTGTTTTTTTTAAAAATTTTTTTCATATGAATTCAATACCGAGAACTTGGTAGGTTGAAGCAAGACATGTATCAAAGCTTAACAAATATTTTCAGATATATTAACGTATCCCCCATCATCAGTAAAATTCTCATTTTTGATAAGAGAGTGAAACAAATATTATAACAACCTCATTGATATCCGTTCAATTACTTATTTTCAAAATATGTGATTAAATTTTTAATGGCTACTACAGTAGAAAAGAGTCAACCCAAAAGTTTTATATAATAACTATGATAGAATGAACAAATCATACAATTAAAAATTATCATAATTATAAAAGACTTTGCTAATCACTTTGAAAAGTCAACTATGGTAGGAAAAAAGCAAAATCAATCTAATAGAAGTTTACCATACTTATTAAAAATTCATATTCATAATAAAACAATAATCACTTTTCCATAATAGCAAAACAGTTACCATAATAAGAAGTAACCCAAACAACTGATTATCATGTATATATTATTCATTTTTTTAACTTTATATATATGTTTTCATTAAGATTATGATTTATAATTATGTCATTAAAATTTAATTTTATTTTGAATAAATTTCTCTTACTCAAATAATAACATGATAATTTCAATTACTATTAATTAATCTCATTCAAATATAACTTAAATCCTAAAATTAAAAGTAGGATGTTATAGATATAACTGAAAAACATGCTGCATTATTTAATTGGATTAATGGAGCAGTATAATTAAGAATAAGCATTATAAGAAATCCATTTAATGAAGGTTGGTGTGACTGAAAAAGATATAATTCACCATATTACATGTCATGGGTTGTCGTTAAAGCCAGTTGATTTAATATCATTGTTTAACTTTGACAAAGTTCAGGACTAAGTTGACAAAACTCAAGCACTCAACACAATATGATATTCATAAAATGCCTACAAGATTTTAATTTTATATATTGACGTCTAACTCAGACCAAAACAAGTATTAAATGAATCATATCAAAATTTTCCTATGTAAAATCAAGATTTTTAATAGGAATTAATCTGCACTAAACCTTCTGGGAATAGACAAACGATAGTAGACAATAAGTTGGAAAGACGCGAAGTATGGGAGAGAAGAAAGTGGATCTGACTCATTGTCAGTGAATAAAAAAGAAATTTATATTTTCTTTTTTTTTAAAAAAGCTATTAATAACATAAGATGACAATAAAGGAAAAAGAAAATCCCACAGTAAAATTGAAGATTAGAACAGATCCAACAAATAAATTAACAAAAAGAAAATGAAATGTTAGGAGGCAAAAGACAATAAACCTAATGACATGAAGACCCAAAACAACAAGAAATAAAAGCAAAAAACTTGAGTGGATTTTAAAATATTAATGACTTTAAATAATTAGAGTTTGTTTTAGAATAAATACTATATAAAACATTCACATGTCTTGATTTAGTTGCACAATAATCTCAAGCGAAAAAAAGTTAAGTATGTAAGGATTTTCTAAAATGCTAAAGTAGAAAGCAAAATGAGAAGAGTACCAAAATAGACAATGGAACAGAGATATGCCCATATCACGTGGAATTACAGCAACTAAAATCTAAACAAACTTAGCATGTGGCAATAATTGATGTACTACTTTTGGTCCTTAATATAAGAGCTAGTTTGACTTTCAATTTGGTTCTAAATATAATACCCTAATCTACTTTGTCTATCATATTTATTCTTTTTTTTTCCCCAAATAAGTCATTGTAGTAGTTACACATATTAAAGATTCAATCAAATGGTAGTTCTAACTAATACACATGATTAATAAAGGTATTCTAGGAAAGACAACACTTTGTCTATCATATTTATTTACTACTATTTTTATGAAAATAGACGTGAATAATGTTTTGTAGCGGAACAGAAGTAAATAAGTGCTTTTTTACTTCTGTTTTTTCAAAACAGAAGTAAATGAGGGTGACTTTTTACTTTTGTTTTTTTTTCTTAACAGAAGTAAAAAAATTTCCCATTTACTATTGTCTCCTTACAATAGACGTGAATGAACTCTCTTTTTTTGGGAAAAAAAATTTACCTCCTGAATGGGTACTTGCCATGCAGTAACTAACTTGTAATACAATAGTAGCAGTCACTTTTCAACAAGTTCAAATTGTCTAACATTTAAACTAGCTAATATTTTTAGCCAACATATATCAAGATCATGACTTCATCAATACATTAACAAACTAGTTAAAAGAACAAATTGCAAAATTTAAAATTAATAACCTAATCATACTAAGTTATCTCTAAACATAAACTTTGTCACTCCCTACACCACCATTCTTGAAGCAGTTGTTTTGCCTAAATGTTTTGGATAAAATCAATATCATCAACTGTGTATGAGTAGTTATTATAAAAAATCTGCAAATTGACAAATGAACGAATTTAAATTATGAAGCAACAATTCAATTTAAAAATTCAATAGCTATTACAAAACTAAAATTATTTTTACTTACCTCTTCAAAATTTTTGGTACATCCACCCTCAATAATGTTAAACATAAAACGGCTAATATAGTATTCGCACTCTGTTACCTCTTGTTGGTTAGGGCACTGCAAATCAAAAGGAAATGGTACAATGCAAATGCATATTTGACATTTTTTAAATAGACGAGGAGCTTCTCGTCTGTTTTTCCCAAACATATGGGAAGTTGTTGCCCTCTATTTCAAAGAAATAGATAAGAATCTTCTCATCTGTTTCTTTCAAACAGACAAGAAGTTTTTTTTTTCCTCCCATGTTTTTGCATAACAGAGGAGAATAGGAGGTTTTTCTCTTTCGTTTTTAAGAATAGACATGAATGGAAGAGGTAAATAGTACATTCTGTAGTAGTGAAATATAAATCTCATCAATTGTATAATACCACCAGGAAATTATTAAAAAAAAAAACTATGAGAAAAATAAGAAAAAAAACAGTAGATAATGACATTACTTAGCGTTGTACTTGCTTCATTTTCCTCCAAAACATGAAGAATATCTTCACTTGACCACAACCTACTTGGTTTTTCTGGATCTTTTGATGATTCTTGATGAACAATCTCTCTCCTCATGTCTTGTATTAGATCGTGCATTTCAATAATATCACCAAACATATCAATCTTTATGAGGCATTTGTCTGTCACACTCCAATATGATAATCCAGATCAAAATGATGAACGCTTTCCACCATCTTTTTGACAAATTCCAATTCTCCCCCTTTATAGAAGCAAGCAATATCAAGAAAAATTTGTTTTTCAATTTGTTTCAAGCCATCATAGCTTACTTTTAATATTTGTTGAATCTTATCATGGGGGACCCTTCTACATCCATCTAACATAGGTTTCCACTCCCTTTCACTCTTACCATACAAATAAGAGCCTATTAATTCAGGGGCTAAGGGAAGACCATTGGCATAACTTATCACCTGATTCACAACTTTCGCATATCTTGGATCATCAACTTGCATATTTCTAAAAAGCCTTCCAGCTTAATAACTCAAGAGATTTTTCATCATTTAAACCCTCCATCTCATATATTCTTTCAAAACCCCATGACTCTTAAGTAATTGTAAATCCCTTGTTGTTCTAATGATCCTGTTCCCACAACCAAGCCATTCACATGCCCCAGCTAACATTTCTAATTGCTTTCGTTCATCTACATTATCAAGAATCAAAAGATTTTTTTTATCTTTGAGTATTCGTTTCATGAGCTCAACTCCTTCATTAATGTCTTCAATTTGTATCTTCTCAACTAAAACTTTTGAAAGCATTCTGGCTTGCTCTTGTTCTAGGCCATGTTTTCCAGATTTTCCTTGAATATCATCAAGAAAGGACAAACAATCAAAATTATCAGCAATTGCATTATACACAGCACGTGCTCTTGTTGTTTTACCCATTCCCCTAGTTCCATAAATTCCTATCATGATGACCTCATCATTTAACCCAAGTTGTAAAAGAGAGTTTGTCTTTTGAACGCGGGAATTTAAACCAAGTGGATATTCGGCAACTTAGTGGGGGACCATTTTTACTATCCTAAAAATGTGGTTCACAATCTCTTTAATGAGTTTATGCTCATAATCTATTCTGGAAATCCAAATAGAAATTTCAGTCAATTCTAACTAAATCTATACAAGTTATTCTCCACGTGCATGCATAATAATTTTAATATTTTCTTCTATTCTAACCATAGAGACTAGCTAGGTGAAAAAAAAATAATGTAACAGTGGGGAATAAACTTGGATCATGTGATGCGCCCTTAAGATTAGCTACTTCATGTACTGCGTGCTTCCAACATTTCATCTTTTCTTCATCAACCTTTGAGTTTTGTTCATGGGTAACTAGTGCTTGTCCATATTTTCCTCTTTGATGTCGTAGTTTAAAAAGCGCCGCATCATAAAAAAATTGCCCAAACTAGTCGATCATTTTCCTTAATACATTGATGGATTTAGACTAGTTCGTTTAGGCAAAATGTTAAGGAAGCATACTCTTTAGAAAATACAGTAACGGCAATCCCCAAATTCCCAGATTGCTTTGGGAAGCCTTGGTGTAATTTCGTCCCTATTCCTATTTCCTTGTGATCAAAGAAGGTGCGAACTCTCTTTTAATTGAGAGCTTTATATAGATTTGCGGTAAAGCCATAACGAATATCTTAGCCTCTAAAATTGAACAAGTCCAATGATAGTGTGTCGAAGATAGTTTTGCCTGCCTGTCATAATTATTGCTTGCACTGGAAGATAGAAATGAAGGCGTCAGAGTAAATGGAACCAGCAAAAAGAAAGATGGAAGTTGCTTGCTTTTCTCCGTCTCAATCAGGAAATGAAAAGATCGACGGCCAGAACTATGGCCTCCCTTAATATGATCTGCATGCATTTGAAATTTATTTTGTTCCACGTATGATATCGCATGTAGTATTTAAATAGAAAAAAAGGTCGCTGTCTAACTAAAAATAAAAAAGCTATTTCATTTCATCAGCTTTTGAAATCCAGAAAATTAAAAAAAATCAAAATACAGCCAAAAAAAAACAGACATTAACTTTTTGTTTATGCGCCCAGCTAGCTTCCTTAGATGCCTTCAGATACTGAAGACAAACTTGCAGTTTATTTTCTTGCGAAACTGTAATATAAAAAGAAATAATCATAATGAACATATTGACAAACGACAAATGGAAGAGCCAAACAAAAAGGAATAAACGATCAACAAACTGTCAATTTATCAACACGAGGCTTGGATTCCTATTATACACACATTAGAAATAACGACCAGCTTTCAAGTGACAAGGATGAAAGTAGGGGTCAGCGGAGATCAAAGGTTTATACTCTCCCAGAGTACAGGAAAAAAAAAAAAGATAAACGAATGTTGAAATAAAATATCAAAACTACTTAGGAGCTGTATTTCGGCCTTATAAGATCTCAATATCTCAATGTTCTGTAAAATTTACAATTTTATTACATTTTTTTTATAGCTCTAAGCTATTTATATTGATTACACATGTTACAAGGTTTCAATTAAGTAATAATTCCAACACAAGTAATTAGATATGGTATTTTAAGAAGGACAAAAGAAAGCCAATACACATTTTTAATAAATAATTAATTTAAGTAAATTTCTTAATATTTACAAATTAATTATTTAACTCTTATATTAGGGATGGATGTGATATCATTTTAACTCATAGATTACAACTGAAAAAGTGGGATTTAATAACAGGTTGATTTATATTAATTATATTTCATAAATAAAGTACAACCTGGGGAAATGAGATATTTAACAAAATCATTTAATTCATAGTGGGATGTTATTTACTTACATGTTGAATACCTAAATACTACCTCATGTCCCAAATATAAGAACTAGTTGATTAATTTGATGAGATTAAGGAAATAAGTTAAGCTAGTTATTTATAATAAATAACTATTGTTTTTCCTAAAATATCCTTACTAATTAAGTGTATTGGCTAGAACTACCATTATAAGACTGACTAACTTGAAAAAAATACATAAATATAAGAGACAAAGTAGATTGGGATCTTATATTTAAGATCAAAATAAAAATCAAATAAGGTCTTATATTAAGTACCAGAGGTAGTATTTCTTTGGTTTGCTCCTTTTTAAGCCTCTCAAACAAACACCCTTAAAGCGACTTAGTTACCTAAACCAAATAAACCGACAACCTTAATGACAACTTGGCTGCCTATGCTACCAACAACCATTTATTTGCATAATACTTAATTTAAAAATTTTAAAACATTCCATAAAGCCCTATTTGTTCTTTAAACGTAAACATTGGGAAATTACACTCTCTTCCAACCCCAATAAGTGGTTTATCATTAGAATGTTTCAATAAATTCATAAAGTACCTTCTACTCACAACCCCTTTAAGCAATTCTCTTGACCATCCAAAATTCCTTAACCAAGTCATTTAACAACACTTTCCAAATAACCCAATGAACACATGCAACATTCTAATAATTTTATGTAAATTTGAAATTATACAATCAAATCAATTTTAAAAGAAAATATCTCATTCTTCGTTTTTTTTATGTAATATATATACATATATATATTTTCAAGCAACATCCATATTTTTTCCAAAACCCACACAAGGGTAAATAATTCCTAACACTATAATTTACTCAATTCTATCATCCACCGATTTAATTTCAAAAGTTCTTCTCTCCAGCATTTCATCAAACACTTTATATGCACCTTGAAAGCTAAGAACAAACATAGTCCTTAAATAATCACCCAAATACTTTTCCATAATTTTCAAATTTCATTTCCTCATAAGATTTAAGTTCAAGAGTCAAGCAATCATCCAAACACACACATAACCACTACTATTTTATTTCACTCACTACCTCCACTACTAAAAAAGAGACTTTCGATGATGACTTTCAGTGGCAAAAAAAAAAAAAGTCGTCACTAAAAGACGATAGAAAATCATTATTGAAAGTATGACTTTTAATGGCAATATTTTTGTTGCCGATCAAAGCTGACTTTTTGTGACAACTTTTATTGTCACTATTGAAAGACGTCACTGCTTTTAACGGTAACAAAAAATGTTGTGGCCAAAAGTGCCTTTTGGCAGCGACATTGTCTTTTAGAGACTACTTTTTATACTGCCAGCCACGCCAACATTGTCGTCACTGAAAACTTTCAGTAGCAACTTTTATGGTTGCTGCTAAAAGTCAATTTGTTTGTAGTGCTTGCACTAATAACTTCTTACCCGACTCAACAACCACAATCTAATTTATGTCTCCAACTCTCTTCTAACACACGCAATTGAGCTCCATTTATGGTTCTTAATTAATCTATAATTGTCTTGAGATATTAAGAAGAAATACCTTGTTAACCCCGGCAGTGACGGACTAAGGCTGGGACAGCCACCGACGGCAGACTGAAGAATGGCGCTAGGAGTTTCACTTCAGAGGCGCCTGAGACTTCTCCCCACTTTGTTTCGCTGAAGTGGACGGAAATGATGAAAAATATCTGATCTTAGTATGAACATTCATGTTTGGTACTATATATTAATTAAAATAGCAAAATAAAAAAATTCATTTCATATTTCTGTGGTGGGGATAGTTATGTCTTACCAACAACTGACTGATAATATTACCTCCGGTTTTTAATATAAGAGTTAGTTGACTAATTTGAGTAGATTAAAGAAACTAGTTAAGTTAGTTATTTATAATAAATATGTGGTCTTTCTTAAAATATCCTTGCTAATCAATTATATTAGTTAGAATTATTATTATTACAAGGACTAGTTTGAAAAAAAATAGACGAAATATGATAGATAAAATGAATTAGGGTCTTATATATAGAATCAAAATAAAAGTTAAACTAATTCTAATATTAAAAACCGGAGCTCGTAAGATGTAATTAGAAATCTTTCTCGGCGTTTGTCCAAAGTTTTAGACTTCTCAGAAAACGCGTGCTACAGATAAGATGGAGATACATAATTTTGAACCGTGTAAAATGTGGCAAAAGTATCATTGGAATCAGAGTTTAGAAGCATTCCCCTTTGAAAGAAAAATCCTTTATAGTGGAGCCATTGGCAGTGAGGCAAAATATGCTTTTATCCGCATTTTAATTATTTCTGGATATCATTTTTTGTTTAAAATACTTATTTCAGTCTAACAAGCAAAACTTTTTGGTAAGTGGCAACCCACCTGAATTCTGATGGCAGCGGTTGACAAACTCAATTATTTTTATATATTTTGATATCTTTTATATGGGTTTTGTCAACTTAATTAGTCCCTTTTTGTCTTATTTGATTATTAATTGATTTATTATGTTTTATTTTGAATTATTATTTTATAGGGGCAAAATTGTCATATTTTGATTTAATTGTGACTAATTGATTTTTGAGGACAATTAATGCTACCTTATCCTTGAATTTTGCTTGCAGGTTCTTGGAAGATTTAAAAATAAAAAAAAAGAAAAGAAAAGAAAAATAAAATTAAAAAATATATATATATAATAATAATAGGTGGGGCAAAACGCAAAATAATCCAATATTAATCTTCTTCTTCACGAAGGCGGCAACGGAGCACGCCGAACACACACGCGAGGCAGAAGAAATAAAGCAGGAGCGTGCTGGCGGCCGAACGAAAAAAAAAAGAGAGACACACGAACACGCCGAAAGAAACAGAGCGGGGCGCGGCAGCGGTCAACCGGCTAATGAGGATGACTTGAGAGTTTTTTTGTTTTTTTAAAAGAGCAACATGGTCATTTGAGCAAATTTTAAAATCCCCTTTTGATTATTTATGTAAACTGGAATTTTCTTTATTGGAGTGACTTTTTGAAGTTTTCATAATTCAAGTCTTGTTTTTGTGTCATTTTATTTTTCCAAACTTCAGGTTGAATCATCAACAACAAAAAGAAGTAAAAAAGAA